TTGGGTCTGTTTCCTTCGTCGTGAAATTATTTCAGTTCGACGGGGCTATAAGGGCGTTGTGAAAAATTTATTTGGTTTTGCTTATTTATTTATTTGTGTATTTTATTTGTTAATGATTGTTTTAGAGGCGGGCTTTTAGTTGGTGGAAAAGGATGATTTGCCGCTATATCAGATAAATGCGGAGAACCTTGCAAAATAGTAGGCAGTACAGACAAACAGATAAGATGCGAATGCTAACACAAATGAAAGGTCAGATTTTTTTTCGAACCCAAAGTCACGCCATTTTGCACACGTCGCTGCACCGAAATGACATACAGGCCCTCAAAGGAAGAAAAGAAGACCTCTCCGGAATATATCCAAGGGAGGCGATCAGTGACCTTTGCCAAACACCGTAATGTTCTTGACACCTGATCATACACTGGGGGTGGGTGGGGGGTGGATGGTGGGGGTGCTTCTAAACCCGAGGCGGGGAGAGGTAAAGGCGGCCTTTTCGCGTTTTTTTTTTTTTTTTTTTTTTTTTTTGTTGTGTGTGTGTGTGTGTGTGTGTGTGTTTGTGTGTGTGTGTGTAGATGTTAATGGCGGTGATGGTAATAGTGATCATGAAGATTATGATGATGATGGTGATGGTAAGAGTGATGGTTGTTTTTGTTACTACCACCACTACTATCACCATCATTATGATTACTATTGTTACTGTTGTTATAAATACCATTGCTATTATTGCCATAGTAATTGTTATTTGCGTTCAAGTTACTCAAATTTCTTTCCTGTCAGCCCACCCAAGCTCTTAGGAAATGGGATATTTTTGCGGGCATCCAACCTACGCAGCCATAGTCACTCCAGCTTTGCGATCAACTGACCCTGGTCTTATAAGTTCCCGTTTCTTGTGGTCACCCAACCCATACTCCTAGTTACTCCCTTTTTGCGGTCAATGTTGCTAGAGTAACTTCTTTTTGCGATTGAACAATCAGTGCTCCTAGAATTGCTCCCATTTTGCGGTCAACCATCCAGTGATCCTAGACTTATAAAGAAATAGTCCCTTTTTGCGGTTAACCAACCTACACTTCTACAATTACTCCCTTTTTGCGGTGAGTCAACCCATGGTTCTAAAGTTACTGATTTTTCGGTAAGCCAACCTATGCTTTTAGAATTACAACCTTTTTGTGGTCAACTAACCCATGCTTGCGAAACAAACATGATTCGGGTTTTGATCAAGAATCAGCAGGAAAGCGTCGTCAATAGAATAAAAGGTTTAAAAAATAACGTGGAAAAGGTATGAATGAGGATTAATATTTTCACAATACAAGAGATGTATTTGACCGCTTTCGAATATATCTTCATCAGATATCATCTGTATCTGACGGAAGATGTATTCGAAACCGGTCAAATACATCTCATTCATAACTTCTTTACATTTTTGAACACGAATACGCTCCATGCTAGAAATAACGTTTATTTCTATACCGGCTGCGTGGCTTCGGAAAGTATGAATTACCGAGATGGATATCACCTAAAAGGACCATTAAAAAATTGATACAAAAGGATATTGTATGGGGCGGTTTTGGACGGAATTTGTGGATTGTGTGATGGGAGATTTGAAAGTAAACATGGCTATATTATTTTTATTTGGTCTTGAATGTGTGTATTAATTTAGAACTGATTTTTTATAAAGAAAATTGTCAGGGAGGGATCTTGTTCACAGTTGATTCGTGGATGCAACTACTTCGAACGCTCTATTTATAGTCATATTTCCCGGAACTGTCCAGTGCTCACGTTGCAACCTCGCCATATTCTGGGAGTCAAGGGGTTGTCTTCATTCTGTCTGTCGGTGCGATAAATGGCTACAAGTTGATTGTTTTGTATTGATGGCGAGGTAGCAAGAAGGTGAATGAATTGATGTAGTGATCTTAAACTTACGAATGAATAAAGTACAGTAGTAATGGCAAGTCTCAGCCCCCAAAATCAGATCTTTGATTAATTGATGGTGATAGTGATGATGATGATGATGATATTGTTATTGTTATTATTTGTTATTATTTTTATTATTATGTTCAATTATATTACATTAAGTTATATTATATTATATTGTATTGTATTATAATGTATTATGTTATGTTATTTTTATTTATAATAGTAATACTGATACTGACACTGATAACGATATGATATATGATGTGATGATAATGAGATTGAAAATAAGAAGGATCATGTGAAAATTTGTATCTGAAAGTAAGCAAGCATTCGGCTACCTGTTTCATTCGCGTATATTCCCTTAGAAGAAGAAGAAAGAAAGAAAGGAAGGAAGGAAGGAAGAAGTACGCATAGGTCCTAGCAAAAAAATACAACAGTGAAATCAGCCCAGAAGCGATTTTGAGACCGCTCGGCGTTGCTCAGAGGCAGGAAGAATAGCCCAGTTGATAGCGCGCGAGGAGCCTTGACCCTTTCGAGTGAATCGGTCGGATCTGAATAGGCCGGGGATGCGTTTGATGGGCGGAGGCCGTCGAGATCTCGAGTGCGGCGCCTTATCCTCGGCGGGGCGAGCGGGGGCTTCTGAGGTTGTTGTTCTCCTTCTTCTTCCTCTTCTTCTCCTTCTTCATCATCATCATCTTCTTCTCTTCTTCTTCTTCTTCTTCTTCTTCTTCTTCTTCTTCTTCTTCTTCTTCTTCTTCTTCTTCTTCTTCTTCTTCTTCTTCTTCTTCTTCTTCTTCTTTTTGAAGGGGGAGGGGGTTGTCGTTAAGGTCAAGGGGTTCTTGTTTTGTTAATTGGCTTTGATTTGTTGTTGATGTTTTTGGGGTGGAATGTTTGGTGTTACTATTCCATAGTGGTTTCCAATAAGTATTTAATGTCTGAACTGGCATGCAGTGCGTACAGCTATAAAAAAATGCAGTTCAATAAGCTGACAAACAGACTTCACCAGCATAGTTTAAGCTCGCCGACCGTATTATAACACAGTCAACACAGGAGTCCTTTTAGGCATCGGCCGTATTTTCATTTTTCGCCGCCGGAGTTCCTCCAAGCTCCAGGCGCTTTGAAAGTATGGAATAAGTGTCAGGGAATATGAGCGACTGTCGTTAAGTACTAGAAGATGTGTTCTTGAGTGTGTGTATACATCGTTAAGTACTAGAAAATGTCTTAAGTGTTCGTGAGTGTGTGTGTACGTTGCCTTTTATTTTCTACTGATGTTGACTGGTAAAAAAAGAGAAAGCCGGGGTTAGGTTTTCGGCGAGGTGTCGGCCGGACGAACATGGCGGCGGTGTCCATCCAGCGGACGGTGTTTTTTCACGAGAAAGCTAAGCAGTGCGCCTCGCATTTGTGCTCCTCTGTGTTTTTATTTATTTATTTTATAATTATTATTATTGTTATTTTTTATACGTATGGTAAATTTCACTTTTGATGAGAACGCTGTGCTGTCTTATGGTTGTGTACGTCTGGTGAGAAGTGAGTGTGTTACGGGAGGTTACGAGATGGCGCCCTGTGATAGTAGATTGGTCTGTGTCTGTCTGTCTGTCTCTGTATGTCTCTCTCTCTCCTCTTCTTCTTCTTCTTCTTCTTCTCATCTCTCTCTCTCTCTCTCTCTCCTCCCCCTTCCTCATCCCCCACCCCATCCCCTCCTGCAAACTCTCCCCCCTCCCCACTTGCTCTCCCGCCCACGAAAGCTGCAAATCCCGGAATAAAAACGACCCGTTAAGCAGCCTCGGAGGCCGTGATTAGAAAGTGCGCGACGGGCGGGATGAGGCAAGTGGCTGATTGCGAATAATTGCCGTTGCAATTCAGGTGCCGTTGCAATGGCGAGGGGGGGGGTACAGTCACGGCCACTGCTGCTTTCTTTTTTTTCGTTTCTTGTTTGTTGTTGTTGTTGTTTGTTGTTGTTGTGTCTTCTTGTCTTCTTCTTCTCTTCTCTTCTTCTTCTCTTCTTCTTTCTTCTCTCTTCTTCTTCTTCTTCTTCTTCTTCTTCTTCTTCTTCTTCTTCTCTTCTCCTCCTCCTCCTCCTCCTCCTCCTCCTCCTCCTCCTCCTCCCTCCTCTTCTTCTTCTTTTTGTGTCGGAACTTCTGATCACCATCATTATGTTGTCGTATGAAGTGTCTGATCAGGTAGGTTGAAGGAAGCAGCGAAGAAAAAATGGGGGGAATCGAATCGGGATGGTGGGGTGAAGCGGAAGGGCCGAGGAGAAAATCTCAGAATGTATGGGTTGTATTTTTTCTGGTTTTAAAGCGTAGATAAAAAAAAAAGATAAAACGGCTCGTTTTTTTTTCTCTCTCGATCTTATCACGATTTTAAGTAATGTCACGGAAATTAGAAGGGAAGATCACGCGAATCTTCTCGTATTCTTCATCTTCCTTTTGTTCTTATATTGACGTATTGGTTTATCTCTAGGTTTATTTGCATTACATGTCGCTGTTTTATTAGTCAAGTGAACGAAATTTAGGGGATTTCCTTAAGACGTTAGCGATTGTCGGTTTAGGTGGTCTGGGAACGCTTGGTGTATTTCGCGCGATCAACAACACTGTTTTTTCCGTGCTTTGAGGACCCGCGGCTGTGGAAGGTAGCATGAAAGAGAAGTGGGGATCAGACCTGCTTTTGATCACGCACAATCTCGAGCGTCTTTTTTTTTCTCCTTGGGTTCTTCCTTTTCTTTAGAGCTCGAGGTGGTGAGGTGTCCTTCCTTTTGCAGAGACAATAGGGCGCACCGGGAGAGGGGGTCGGGAACTCTACGTCGATTCAAGAGGCGGTTCCAAACGTTAGAGTCTATCGTAAGACGTGGAGTGCTTTCAGAGTCTCTCTTCTCTGTCTCTTCTCCTCTCTCTTCTCTCTCTCTCTCTCTCTCTCTCTCTCTCTCTCTCTCTCTCTCTTCTCTCTCTCTCTCTCTCTCTTTATATATATATGTATTTATATATATATATATATATATACAAATATATAGACACAAATTTAGACACAAATTACAAGCCAGCGTATTGACTGAAGAATTTCTTTCAGATCGGCAGTGTGTGTGGGGGTAGGTAGCCAAGGCTGGTATGGTAGAAGAGAGTTATTTGTGGCTCTGAAGCTGGTTGCAGCTGCTCAGAGAGGTCTGCCCGTCAGAACAGAGTCCCTTGCCCTCGGTGTTGATCTACCCCTGCCAAGATTACACACCAACAACAACACGCATTATGGTATGTCACTGAGCCTGTGTGCCTAGTCTGTGTGCCCAGTCTGGGAGCTGTATAGTGTTGAATGAAGGGATGGGTGGCCTGGAGGGATGCTGCTGTGTGTATTTGGGGAATTGGGGAGGTTATGAATTGGTCATGTGATGTGGATATCCATTGTTTCTCTTTCTGTGCACATGTAGAGAGTGAGTGAGAGTGAATGAGTGAGTGTGTTTGTGTTTGTTTGTGTGTGTATGTGTGTGTGTGTGTGTGTGTGTGTGTGTGTGTGTGTGTGTGTGTGTGTGTGTGTGTGTGTGTGTGTGTGTGTGTGTGTGTGTGTGTGTGTGGTGTGTGTGTGTGTGTGTGTGACGTGAGTGAGTGAGTGAGTGAGTGAGTGAGTGAGTGAGTGAGTGAGTGAGTGAATGAATGAATGAATGATTGAATGTGGGTGAGAGTGAGCGAACCGGTGAGTGAATGAATGTGTTAAGTTTAAGTGAATGATTAAAAGAGCATGCGTGTACTATATGTGTGCTTCTGCTTGACTGCTGGTGGTTGATTGGTTGAGAAGGATTGATTAGCTGAAAGTGGTCGATTGGCTCAGTGTGATTGATTAACAGAGAGTTGTTGATTGCCTGAGAGTGGTTTATTGGCTGAGAAGGATTGATTGACAGAGTGGAATAAAGTTCTTTTTGGCTGAGAGGGATAGATTGACAGGTTGGTCGATTGAGAGATGTTGAAGGACAATGTGGTTGATTGTGATTTGTTGATTGGCAAGAGTGGTTGATTGTGTGTGGTTGATTGGTGAGAGGTGTTGAGTGGCGAGAGCGGTTGATTGAACGAGAGGGGTTGATTGGCGAGAGGGGTTTTAGCGAGAGCGGGTTTGATTGGCGAGAGCGTTGATTGGCTTGGCGAGAGCGGTGATTGGTGGTGGTTGTTTGGCGAGAGCGGTTGATTGGCAAGCATGGTTGATTGGCGAGAGGGTTGATTGGCAAGCATGGTTGATTGATGGTTTGATTGGCGAGAGGGGTTGTTGGCAAGCATGGTTGATTGGCGAGAGCGGTTGATTGGTGAGTGGTTGTTTGGCGAGAGCGGTTGATTGGCAAGCGGTTGATTGGCGAGAGCGGCTGATTGGCAAGCATGGGTTGCTTGGCAAGCATGGTTGATTGCGAGAGGTTGATTGGCGAGAGTGGTTGATTGACGAGAGGGGTTGATTGGCGAGAGTGGTTGTTTTAGCGAGAGGTTTGATTGGCGAGAGCGGTTGATTGGCAAGCATGGTTATTGGCAAGCATGGTTTGATTGGCGAGAGGGGTTGCTTGGCGAGAGGGGTTGATTGGCGAGAGGGGTTGATTGGCGAGAGGGGTTGATTGGCGAGAGCGGTTGATTTTGAGAGCGTTGATTGGCGAGAGCGGTTGATTGGCGAGAGCGAGAGGGGTTGATTGGCGAGAGGGGTTGATTGGCGAGAGGGGTTGATTGGCGAAGGGGATTGGCGAGAGGGGTTGGCGAGAGGGGTTGATTGGCGAGAGGGGTTGATTGGCGAGAGGGTTGATTGGCAAGAGGGGTTGTTTGGTTGATTGGCGAGAGGGGTTTGATTGACTTTGATTGGCGAGAGGGGTTGATTTGATTGACGAGAGGGGTTGATTGACGAGAGGGGTTTTGATTGGCGAGAGCGGTTGATTGACGAGAGGGGTTGATTGGCGAGAGGGGTTGATTGGCGAGATTGATTGGCGAGAGCGTTTGATTGGCGAGAGCGGTTGATTGCGAGAGGGTTGATTGGCGAGAGGGGTTGATTTGGGATTGGCGAGATTGATTGGCGAGAGGGGTTGATTGCGAGACGTTGATTGGCGAGAGGGGTTGATTGCGAGAGGGGTTGATTGGCGAGAGCGTTTGATTGGCGAGAGCGGTTGATTGGCGAGAGCGTTGATTGGCGAGAGAGAAGATTGGCGAGAGCGTTTGATTGGCGAGAGCGGTTGATTGGCGAGAGCGGTTGATTGGCGAGAGCGGTTGATTGGCGAGAGGGGTTGATTGGCGAGAGCGGTTGATTGGCGAGAGGGGTGATTGGCGGTTTGATTGGCGAGAGCGGGTTGATTGGCGAGAGCGGTTGATTGGCGAGAGCGGTTGATTGGCGAGAGCGGTGATTGGCGAGAGCGTTGATTGGCGAGAGCGGTTGATTGGCGAGAGCGGTTGATTGGCGAGAGGGGTTGATTGGCGAGAGCGTTTGATTGGCGAGAGCGTTTGATTGGCGAGAGCGGTTGATTGGCGAGAGGGGTTGATTGGCGAGAGCGGTTGATTGGCGAGATTGATTGGCGAGAGCGGTTGATTGGCGAGAGCGGAGCGAGAGCGGTTGATTGGCGAGAGCGGTTGATTGGCGAGAGCGTTTTGAATTGGCGAGAGCGGTTGATTTTCGAGAGGGTTGATTGGCGAGAGCGGGTGATTGGCGAGAGTGGTTGATTGGCGAGAGGGGTTGATTGACGAGAGGGGTTGATTGGCGAGAGGGGTTGATTGGCGAGAGCGGTTGATTGGCGAGAGGGGTTGATTGGCGAGAGGGGTTGATTGGCGAGTGGGGTTGGTTGGCGAGAGGGGTTGATTGGCGAGAGCGGTTGATTGGCGAGAGCGTTTTGATTGGCGAGAGGGGTTGATTGGCGAGAAGGGTTGATTGGCGAGAGAGGTTGATTGAGCGTGATTGCGAGAGCGTTGATTGGCGAGAGGGTTGATTGGCGAGAGCGGTTGATTGGCGAGAGGGGTTGATTGGCGAGATTGATTGGCGAGAGCGGTTGATTGGCGAGAGCGGTTTGATTGATTGATTGGCGAGAGGGTTGATTGGCGAGAGCGTTTTTGAATTGGCGAGAGGGGTTGATTGGCGAGAGGGGTTGATTGGCGAGAGGGGTTGATTGGCGAGAGCGGTTGATTGGCGAGAGCGTTGATTGGCGAGAGCGTTGATTGGCGAGAGGGGTTGATTGGCGAGAGCGTTTGATTGGGAGAGCGTTGATTGGCGAGAAGGGTTGATTGGCGAGAGCGGTTGATTGCGAGAGCGTTTGATTGGGCGAGAGGGGTTGATTGGCGAGAGCGTTTGATTGGCGAGAGGGGTTGATTGCGAGAGCGTTGATTGGCGAGAGCGGTTGATTGGCGAGAGGGGTTGATTGGCAAGAGCGGTTGATTGGCGAGAGCGGTTGATTGGCGAGAGAGCGAGAGCGTTTGATTGGCGAGCGGAGCGTTGATTGGCGAGAGCGGTTGATTGGCGAGAGGGGTTGATTGGCGAGAGGGGTTGATTGGCGAGAGCGGTTGATTGGCGAGAGCGGTTGATTGGCGAGAGGGGTTGATTGGCGAGAGGGGTTGATTGGCGAGAGCGGTTGATTGGCGAGAGCGTTTGATTGGCGAGAGCGTTTGATTGGCGAGAGGGGTTGATTGGCGAGAGCGTTTGAGAGAGCGGTTGATTGGCGAGAGGGTTGATTGGCGGGTTGATTGGCGAGAGCGGTTGATTGGCGAGAGCGGTTGATTGGCGAGAGCGTTGATTGGCGAGAGGGGATTGAGATTGGCGAGAGCGTTTGATTGGCGAGAGCGATTGGCGAGAGCGGTTTGATTGGCGAGAGGGGTTGATTGGCGAGAGGGTTGATGGCGAGAGCGGTTGATTGGCGAGAGCGTTGATTGGCGATGGCGGTTGATTGGCGATTGATTGGCGAGAGATTGGCGAGAGGGTTGATTGGCGAGAAGCGGTTGATTGGCGAGAGCGGTTGATTGGCGAGAGCGGTTGATTGGCGATTGGCGAGAGGGGTTGAATTGGCGATGCGAGAGGGATTTGATTGGCGAGAGGGGTTGATTGGCGAGAGGGGTTGATTGGCGAGAGCGGTTTGATTGGCGAGAGCGTTGATTGGCGAGAGCGGTTGATTGGCGAGAGCGGTTGATTGGCGAGAGGGTTGATTGGCGAGAGGGGTTGATTTGGCGAGAGGGGTTGATTGGCGAGAGGGTTGATTGGCGAGAGGGGTTGATTGGCTGGCGAGAGCGGTTGATTGGCGAGAGGGGTTGATTGGCGAGAGAAATTGGCGAGAGGGTTGATTGGCGAGAGCGGTTGATTGTTGATTGGCGAGAGGGGTTGTTTGGCGAGAAGCGGTTTGATTGGCGAGAGCGGTTGATTGGCGAGAGGGGTTGATTGGCGAGAGGGTTGATTGGCGAGAGCGGTTGATTGGCGAGTGGGTTGATTGGCGAGAGCGGTTGATTGGCGAGAGGGGTTGATTGGCGAGAGGGTTGATTGGCGAGAGGGTTGATTGGCGAGAGGGGTTGATTTGGAGAGCGGTTGATTGGGTTGATTGGCGAGAGCGGTTGATTGGCGAAGGGGTTGATTGGCGAGAGCGGTTGATTGGCGAGAGCGGTTGATTGGCGAGAGAGAATTGATTGGCGAGAGCGGTTTGATTGGCGAGAGGGTTGATTGGCGAGAGGCGGTTGATTGGCGAGAGCGGTTGAGCGGGTTGATTGGCGAGAGCGGTTGATTGGCGAGAGCGTTGATTGGCGAGAGGGGTTGATTGCGAGAGCGTTTGATTGGCGGGAGCGGTTGATGGCGGGAGCGTTTGATTGGCGAGAGCGTTTTGATTGGCGAGAGCGGTTGATTGGCGAGAGGGTTGATTGGCGGAGATTGATTGGCGAGAGGGGTTGAGAGCGGTTGATTGGCGAGAGTTTGATTGAGAGCGTTTGATTGGGAGAGCGGTTGATTGGCGAGAGCGGTTGATTGACGAGAGGGGTTGATTGACGAGAGCGAGAGCGTTTGAATTGGCGAGAGGGGTTGATTGGCGTTGAGCGAGAGGGTGATTTGAGCTTGATTGGCGAGAGCGTTGATTGGCGAGAGCGGTTTGATTGGCGAGAGCGGTTGATTGGCGAGAGCGGTTGATTGGCGAGAGCGGTTGATTGGCGAGAGCGGTTGATTGGCGAGAGCGCGTTGATTGGCGAGAGGGGTTGATGGCGAGAGGGGTTGATTGACGAGAGCGTTGATTGGCGAGAGGGGTTGATTGCGATATTGGCGAGAGGGGTTGATTGACGAG